ACCAGCCCGGTATTAAATTTTTGGTGCTCTTTTATCCATGCTAGTGAACATTTTGTAACGCTGCTAGATATGTTGTTAGGTAATTTTTTAAAAAGATTTGATCCAAACCTCTTGAATGGATGGATTTCCGGGATCAGAGCTCACGCTAAGCAGTGCTCGTTGTGTGAGCCCTGACCCCTACCATCCGATCGCGCAATCCCATGTCAACGGCAGAATTTGGTGGCGAAAGCTTGACGTGCCGCAATGCTCGGCACGGTCCGTCCTGCTCTCTGACGTCAACTGACCTTTTAGCGCGACCGCTGCCACCGGCCGCAGGCCATACCTGTCAACGGCAAATAGCGAGCGCCCTAAAGCGACTCGAACCCACCCCACCACGGGTGGGTGAATTGAGAGGCAGGCGCTCTAACCAACTGAGCCACCGGGACGGACAAAATTGAAATTGATGGCGCCTTTACATGCTATTGTATGACTCCAATTGGGCAACTACTAGAAAAGACAAGAAAAAAAAACATGAAATGCATGTCGGCTCTCCCCACCTCAGGACCAAAGACGCCTCGAGCCTTCCAACAAGTTGCGATTATCCAAGTCCTTGATGGGTACACCAGCAAAATGACAAAGGAGCAGACATATGAAATGCCACATTTCATGTCACATTTTTTTGCGGAGCCACGTCAGACCGATATTATGAAATATTATTCCGACAGTGTCCCCCCCCCCCTCCCCCCCTACAATAAGCTTAGCCGCTGTACCCAGGATCCATTTAGCTGACAGAGACAGGGAGTTCAATGCAGACCGTGTTTTCTGCTGAGGTGATCAAGATAGAAAACAGCGTTGGGGTCATGTCCGAGGAGAGATACCAAGTTTGTTTGGGTGACCACTGTGCGGTGAGGCCGCTGTGAGGATGCCCTGCACTTTTCAGGCACCACAACTTGCGAGGACAGCTGGGGAAGGTGCCTTCAGTTTGCATGTTTGGAAACATATCAGCACTCCAACAGCATTGCATAAGCAGCGAGCGAGGCGCCACTTACTCTGCTCCAGAATCTGTTATATCTCAATGTGTGTAGCATTTAAAGAGCACCGTGAGAGCTTGCACATGTATTATGTCACAGCTTTTTTAATAAAAAAATGGCATACTGTATTGAATCGTCGTGTATGCCTCTTGACAGCCAGCTCTAGGTCTGTTAGGAATTCTGAAATGCATAGCACTGCTACCTGCTTTGGAGCTATACAAGACAGTAGTATTAGCCTTATTCCTCGGAGAAAACCAGGAAAATGGAAATATAGTTGTGTTGAAATTTCGGGACCATGCCTTCATTGAAACAATAGCAGAAAGTTATTGAAGACTTCTGCTATTGCGATGAAGGCATGTTGCGGAAATATTAACCCAACTATATTTCCATTCTGCTGGTTTTCTCCGAGGAGTAAGGCTAATACTTCTGTCTTATCTCTGTGAATAATGTTCCTTGCTAAGGCACTGAACAACTTGCGTTGGAGCTATTCAATTTCATCCAGGCATTGATCTCCCTTCACTGAGTCTATATCATCCTTGAGGGTTGAGGGTATTAAAAACGAATACAGGATTCAGAGCGCCAGGCTTGTGTACGAGCTATATGCTTGACTGTACTTCCATGCCGACCAAGTTAATAAGTTCATTAATTTGTAGCAGCTGCTTCTTGCAGCCCGTCAGAATGGCTCAAAGTGACTTGTTAATTGCTGGCTTCTGCAGCCAACCACAATGCTGATATTAAGCTTGATAAATAGGAGCAATAAGTTGTGTTCAGGTGTGTCACGTTTGTCTGCTTATGATGGCAATAAACAACTCAAATCGGAAATGGTGCGGATTTCTATAAGCATATTTTTGCTAAGCCGGACCAAACCGGATTGCATCCATAAGCTTCAAAAGCCCGGATTTGTGAGCGGTTTGAATTCTGGAGAGCCGGACGGGAGTAGGCCAGATTCTAAAAGCTCAACTCGTGAATGACTAGCGTTCAGGTCTTGCATGCACACTGAAATAACCTGGTGTTTCGTCCTTGTTGTTCGAGAGAATGCTGCGAAACATAAGCACGACAAAACGGAAGGAGGTTCGAGCTGGTGGTCAGCTCCATATGGTCGGAGCATTGCACAAATATTGTAATGTCATTTGAATAAATGATAGCTATAAAATTGCAGCTAATAATTTAAGGCCCGAAGAGAAAACGACTCGGGAAAAGGGAGACACGTATGATGGCGTAGGACACACCACATGTTTCTACGTATATCAGTCAAAGAAATTGTGATGGGTACAGTAACTTCGCCTGAATGAGAAGCCAACTTTAGCTGTTTACAACACATCATTCAAGTGAACAAGGTTTAGTTAAGATTTAGAGAAATGTTGAGACAATACATTAGCATTATGGGTGAAATAATCGTTCGGATTATCGATATGATTAACACCTGACGCCGTTCGGAGAGTTAACTAGTCGAAGCGTGTATGCATACCACACCAGACGAGTGCGTTAGTTCGAAGAATTACTCAATCCGGTTTGGTTATTAAATTCACTGACAAAATATCTACCAGCATTTCTGGCCCAGTTCACGGTGTGCCGTAAAGGTCGCCGAAGTAAGTGATGCTCATTTTTATCTCTGCTAACACACCAACTATTCAAAAAAAATTACCATCAAGGTCATAATTAAGATATTATCAAAAACACTACCACCAATACATCATAATATGAAATGCTATCTAATGCATTATCAAGTGTAATATAATAAAAATGACTAAGTAACTAACTATGCTATCAATAACTTTTACTATTCAGCATTTTTATCGACTAGCATGCACGGGGCGTGCGACTTAACATTATCCCAACTCGCAAGCTAAACTCGCAGTTCAATGACGAGAACTAAACATTCCCGATGATGAAACGGCCTGCGAGCTTCAACAACAACCAGCAGGGTGTTCTCCGCAGCCCGCGCGCTTTCCCGGGCGCCGTTCCTATCATCTGCACCTGCTGTCTTCCCTGCATAATCAGCGGTCACCAGATGCTCATGCTCCCAGCGAGAGCATGAATAAGGCCGCCTCCGGCTGACGGCTCCCACATGCCGGAGCCGAGCTGCTGTTCCACCAAACGAATATGGTGGTCTGAGCTGCAAAAAAGACTTAGCGTTTCCCAAAAAAATCAAGACGGGTTTGTCGCCGAATTTGATCTACATCCTTCACAAAGTTGTGGCGGGGAAGAGTCCTCCAAGAGCATGATAATACACATTCCTCCCTCATGCGACATTGTCTATCGTTTCGCTCAACTTTTCACAGATGAACGATTCCGCTTTCGAGAACCTCCTCGTGTCCCACGCGCTCACTTTCTGTCCTGGTGTTGTGCACGGAAAGGGAAAACGCTGGCTCATACTTAATGTCACTGATGCGGCGCGCGACGACTCAGTGGTGTTTCACGTTAGAGTACAGTTAGACGCACTGAGTTTGAATACCGCTGAAGCTCTGGATGTACCCGTTTGAAGATAAGAATAATATGACAATCCCAAACAGCGCATTGATTTATATTGAGTATGTACATACACTGTTCCAACATCCACAATTTGTCGGGTTTCTTGCGATCTGGCCTCATAAGAAGCTCGCAAGGGGTTCCAACATCGCAGCGCTATGGCTGCCGGAGGTCCCCAAAACAACATCGTTTTGACCACAGCGTGAGACAGAACACAAAAGCTCACCAACGCACCACACACCGTGCGCCACGCCCACCACACACGCAGTGCTATCTCTGCCCAGTACACACGAGCGTACAGTGTTTATGCTTAGACTGTCAGCTCGGGATTCGCTGGAGTCGACCAAGCACGCGCCGTGATGCAAGAAGCACCTCGGCGTGGCCCAGAGAAACAACAGCAAACCATTGCGCGAGATCGCGACAGCGCAGTATTGATATAAACAGTACTCAAGTGAAGACAGTGGCGGATTGGCATTTTGATTGCGTCAGACGTGCCCGAAGTCAGGCCAACGTCAAAGTCAAGGTATGGAACGAAACACGCTAAGAGAAACAATGTGGGAATCCTGCCTGAAAATAGAGTACTTTCAGCCGCGAATGAAGCGGAATGAAAACGACATTGTTGTAACCTTACTGTAGCGCATGGGGTTGGGCCTGCGCGTTACAACGACGTTACAGCCCCGCGCAACGTGGCAACAAACCAAAGCCGAACCCCATGGCACTCCTGCACACATTCTGAAACAGAGCGCTGTTAACAGCGCACACAGCGCTGTGTGTGCTGTGTGCCAGCCGAGTCAGCACGGGACGTGATGCGGCACATGCAGCGTACAATGGCTGCCGTACATGTCACGTGGCTGTACACAAGGGCTGAGGTACAATGGCTGGGGGTGCGAACTTCGAGACTGTCTTACAGCTACAATGCTGCAAATGCGCTGAGACTGTACAGCAGCTGAGGTTGTATCGGCACAGCAGCTTAGGTGCCTGTTCAGCAGCTGAGGTTGTACCGGTACAGCAGCTGAGGTGCCTATACAGCAGCTGAGATTGTGCCTGTACAGCAGCTGCAGAAACCAGGCGCGCAGGGACGGAGACTCCAACCTTAAGCGACCAGCTCGCACCTGAAATTAGTGCATTTGAAAAAATCAGTGAAATGCGCCCACACGTAGCAAAGCATTTAAAGTCAAGGGTGACATCAGCAGCAACCCTCAGAGCCAGCATTGCTCTTCAGAACGCATTCATGGCTATTTTTGTTTCATTTCGTTTGTAAATAAACATCTACTTGCCCTTAAAGGGACCGAGGCTATCACCAATAAGTTTTCCATTTTTTTTTTTTTTTATTAAAGTAAGCGGAACATTGCAATGCTAAAAAATACATTTTCCACCTCAGCAAACGCTGGTGTGGAACCAGAAAGTGCCTGTGCTCTGCCAATCTAACACTCCCCCCTCTCCCTCCCCCACTTCTTCCATGCCGACCTGCTCCTGACCTCTACTGACCTCTGCCCTGTGCGCGGAGTCCGTCCGGACCGTCTACTGGAAGTTACCCGCCACGCCGATGTCACCGATGAGAGGCGCCCCATCCGGTCCCGCCTGGGGCAGGTTACTCCGCACGAACACGGGGTCGATGGCATCATTCACCGGCAGCTGGCGGCGGAGACGAGGCCAGCAAATTACCAGGACCGTCTTGACAGTGCTCGTGGTGTGTCCAATGACTGCATGATGTCATTACACAGCAGAGCATAGCATGCAAGATATTATTGCTCCCATGCTTTGTGGAGTTATTCGGCAAATTTTTAACCGTGCACTGACAAAAGTATCTGACAAATAACCAAACGAGTTTATGTAAGGGAAAACAAGTGAATTCAGCGTCATGCCTGCAATGCGGGACATAACGGGCGTTGACTGGAGTTCGGGCGTGGTAATATGGCCCAAATGTAATGTTCTGGACGCAAGAACTTGACAAATAATTGTAGGTTTATCACAACGGTGGATAGGTAGCCCGTGCTGCACCAAAGTCACATAGCCCATACAAAATAGCGGTGTTTTATTAACGGCAGGTACGATTGGAACGACGTGGGACTGGATTTACAGCAGGCAGGACTAGGCCCTCTGTGAAGGTCAACAGCTGACATAGGAGTGTCATAGAGTGAAAGTTCTCTCTCTCTCTCTCTCTCTCTCTCTCTCTCTCTCTCTCTCTCTCTCTCTCTCTCTCTCCACTCACCTGAATGATCGACGAGTCGGACGGGGGACCGTACTCGCTGTTGAGGTTCGCACCGCTGCCACCAGATGGCAGGCCAAGCGAAACGCTAGGCGTCACCAGCTGCAGGCACAAAGGGTTATGTCAACTGACGATGAAGTCAGAGAAGAGCGGAATCGGTGTACGTGTGCATAAAAAACAGACGGCGTGCTGCACCAGTCGCCGTCACGTTTTGCCCCTGGATGCCGGCAGGTTGGCACACACCTAGACGCGCGGCCAGGATTTCGCGCCGGAGGGGGTCAAGGGGGTCAAGGGGGTCAAGGGGGTCAGGGGGTCGGGGCATTAGGAGTCAGGCGCGGCCAATATCTCAGGATCAGCAGCATAGACCCACTTCAACGCTATAAAAACTGTCTTCTATTCTGAGAACTTGCTAAGGCTCGTGGTCCCCTTAAGGGGTCTTGAAAACATCCGTTTAAAATGTGTTAGAGGACCCGCTGAGGTCTTAAATTGCAAAAAGCACCGAGGCCCTCGGGCTCAGAAGTCTCTGCCACCTCCAAGAGGGGGGGGGGGTATATCCCAAAAACCAATCTTCTTCACTGCACACACCTGCTGCTGCTGGGGAGCCGAGTAGATCTGGCCACCGGAAATCGAGCCCTGGTCGACAATCGACGATCCTCCATCAACAACCGACGATCCGCCGTCGATGATCGACGTTCCGCCGTCGATGATCGACGTTCCGCCGTCGATGATCGACGATCCGCCGTCGATGACGTTAGTCGACACGCCGATCACCGTCGATCCGCCGTCGATGGAGCCTCCCGTGCCGACGACTTGGTCGGGGCCGCTGTAGGACTGATCGATGGTTTGGACCGGACCACTGTAGGACTGGTCCACGGTCTGAACCGGGCCACTGTAGGATTGATCCACGGTCTGGACTGGACCACTGTAGGATTGGTCCACGGTCTGGACTGGACCACTGTAGGATTGGTCCACGGTCTCGACCGGACCACTGAGGGATTGGTCCACGGTCTGGACTGGACCACTGTAGGATTGGTCCACGGTCTGGACTGGACCACTGTAGGATTGGTCCACGGTCTGGACCGGAACACTGTAGGATTGGTCCACGCCAACCTCGATCACGGGGCCCAGTGACTGGGTCACAGGTTGTGGCTGTAAAGGGTGAAGAGCGCTGCAGTCAAATATCGGGCTTCGACGGCAGCGTATGCGTGCAATATGCCTGAGGGTCCAAGACTTTGTTACAATTGCATGTACCAGATGTTCAAAGTTCAAACCAACAGTGTATGCGTCACGGGTCTGGCGGCCGTGCAAAACTGCGAGTTTTACAGCTGCATTTTGAAGTAGCTGCTAATGCCTTCAAAGCTATGGATGTTTACTTTGGCAGCGTAGAATAGCACAAAACATCACCCCACGATGAATCACGCATCTAACGTATTCGGCGCACGTTGAAGCCCCGCCCCCAGCGCCGCCACCGGCGCTGTCTGGAACCAGTAGCTCACCACTCGGCCGCTAGGGGCGTAGCTTTGGCTGAGGTCGGGAGCCTGGATCTCGTGAATCGAGACAGGCACCGGAGCCTCGTACGAAGGCCCGGGAGCCGGAGCCGAGTAGCCGGAGCCCGGGGTGCCCGCGACGCCGACCCCTGCGGCACGAGGAGAGGGTGTGAACGGCCGAAGATGTACGCTGGAGAGAGGGGACCGCCGTCGGGACGAAGTGATGCTGGGAGCTAAGGCCAGTGGAGGCAGCCCGGCGCGGTTCAGGTGGTGCAAAGGTGCTGCGGTGCGATAAAAGAGGACCTAACACCATCCAAGCACCTGACTCTCTTCTTGTCCCCTATCAACTGGTGGCATGCATCACACATTCAAATAACTGTATCTTCAATAAAAACACCATGCATTCGAATGTCTCAAGGAGCTGGAGACCACACCTGCGCAGTGGGAGAGGACATATCGCTGTCACGATGTAATCGGCCGGTATCATTTTTCCTTGTGAGTACATCATCTTTCGGAAGATTATGCATGCATTTCCTGGCTAAGGTAGCCAAAGACAATGTTGGCCAACAATACCGGGACATAGCCTCCGGCACGGATGGCCTTGTAGATTACATGTATTATATATATATATATATATATATATATATATATATATATATATATATATATATATATATGACCCTATGTCTTATATGTGCGAGTGCTGTGATGAGTATTACCTGTGATGATCTGCGGATGCGGAGCCTCGTAAGCACCGCTGATGACACCACCGTGTCCACTTCCACTGTGTCCACTTCCACTGTGTCCACCTCCGCTGTATCCGCCCCCGGTGTGTCCACTTTCAACGTGTCCTCCTCCACTGTGTCCACCTCCGCTGTATCCGCCCCCCGGTGTGTCCACTTTCAACGTGTCCTCCTCCACTGTGTCCACCTCCGCTGTATCCGCCCCCGGTGTGTCCACCGTCATGTCCACCGCCTGTGAAATCGGCAAAGGCTGTGTCACTGCGTTCCGTTGGCTTGTGGGTCTCACCATGGGCAGCGCGCATTGAACGACTATGCGCGCTGTCCATGGTGACGACCAGCGGCTGATTTTACCTCAGAATTATTCAGACGCGACGTCGGGAGAGCAATTTACGGCCGTTTTTAAACATTGAAATGCAGCCACGGAAGAGCGCCAGCCATCCTCGAGCAGCACTGGAGCGGCCCGGGTCGGTCTCACCCGACTTTACGACAGAGGTCAGACCCCACAACACGACGCCGTGGTCCTCAAACTGCACCAGGAAGTCCGAGCCGATCCCTGTGGTTTCCAAACGTGGACGGACTATCTGAGCCCGGACCAGCGCTGTTCAATCAGCCATCGCTACTCAGCCAGGGGCCGGCCTTTCTCACCTCCGTGTCCGTGAGGGGCTCCGTAGCCGCTGGAGGGAGTCACCGGCGGGCCGTAGCTGGGCGCTGGTGGGCCGTAGCTGGGTCTGGGCGGACCGTAGCTGGGCTTAGGCGGGCCATAGCTGGGCTTGGGCGGGCCGTAGCTGGGGCGGGGCGGACCATAGCTGGGCTTAGGTGGGCCGTAGCTGGGCCTGGGCGGACCGTAGCTGGGCTTAGGCGGGCCATAGCTGGCCTTGGGCGGGCCGTAGCTGGCCTTGGGCGGGCCGTAGCTGGGGCGGGGCGGACCGTAACCATGCGATGGCCTCACTTGGATGTAACCACTGCCATGACCTCCACCCTTGTGGTGACCTCCGCCCTTGTGGTGACCTCCACCCTTGTGGTGACCCCCGCCCTTGTGGTGACCCCCGCCTCCGCCGTAGCTGTGGCTGCCGCCGCCGTAGCCATGACCGCCTCCGCCGTAGCCATGGCCGCCCCCCGCCGTAGCCGTAGCCGCCGCCGTAGCCGCCGTGGCCCCTCTTGCCGAAGCCGAAGAGGCTGCCGAAGAAGGCCTGCGTGCTCGCCACTACTGCCAACACTGTGAGCGCCTGGAACAAGGAGTTGAGGGATGAAATATTCCAGTTGTGGACCGCAGTGAGATGTGTGAGAGGCTTTCTCACATTGCTACCGGCGTTTAAGCAACCAACAGCTGACATCTGTCAACGCCTGAATTTCAATTCGATGACGTAGTGGTATGACGGAGCGCCGAAGCTTTGAACTAGGTTATTAGGCGCTGCGGACAGCCCCTCTTTCTTTTATAAAAGTGATTGCACTGAGGTTAAACACGCGTTTTTGTTGTTTTCTCCTTCAAATTTGTCATGTGTGAGGATGGCACTAGTGCCTTCGGTGCAGATTAATTGTTATTTGGCCTTTTGGATTATAGGAGTGGTGTCGTAGAAGTTTTGTACGCTGCTTGCGTACTATAACTATTCCTTTTGTTAAGATTTTTCTGATAAAATGGCTCAAAAGAGAAGCAGCAAGAGAGGAAGATGATGAGCCAAATTTGCTTGGTAAGCCTTAAACGCCTACAAAGCAAATTACATGCACGATACACTACGTAAGATAAGCGGCCGAGGACGTCTGAAGGCCGTTTCAAGCTCTCCATACAAACTCTAGGTAAGCTGATTATGATGGTGATGCACACCAGGGTTTTTCATACAATTCGTGGAAATGCTTCTGCCTCAATTAGTTTCTTCCTTGCTCTTACTTCATAGCATTTTTTTTTTCACAAATGACACTGATCTGATTGGGACGAAAAGCGCTTGTGACATTGTCGATGTCAAGCGTTGTCGCATATCTACTGACATCACCTTGAAGGCTGCTAAATGACAACACAGCCGTCGTTGTACGGCAACGCGGCCGTTTCATCGATCAGCAGCGATAACTCAATCATCACTTAATATGCAAATGAAGATTATCCACTACGAGTGCCGTTCCTGCAGCATCCTCGCATCCCTACAGCACCTGCATAACCAGTCTGGTATCCCAGGGCACGACCGCTCTAACCCGGCCTAAGCTTTCTCTGCCACACCCTACGGACAGCATGTTCAGCCGGCAGGACAGCTCAACATTGCGTTTGCTGCCGCGATGCGACGGCTGCGGTTTGCACACCCCTCGCATGTCATTTGCATGGCAGTTTCGCAAGCGTCCTCATGTACGGCCGAGGTCCGGTTATGCTGCGTGTGTGTGTCGTGCAGGGGCTGCTAGCGCAGGTAGCCTGCGCCGGCCCGACCCCGCCGACCGGCCCCTGTCAACTGAGGTCGTCTCTCGGTGTTGAACCGGGCCGCTTTGAGCCGCCGCCGCGTACTGCAACAGCTCGTGAGCTGCGTTCTTACACAGGACGACTTTCACCCCGACGGAGCGGGTGCACGTGTCCTACGAGAGGGAGGGGAGTGCACGTGGAGTTCTGGCAGTGCCCCCTCCCCCTCAGCGGGGCGCAGGATCGCCCCGCGCGCTGATCTTCATCAGGGTGCAGAGTTTTCAAGATGCAAACATAGACGTCCCCAGCGCAACCTAGCAACACGTTGCACACATTTCTGCAGGCACGCCCGCCTCAAGCTACTTGGTCGCGTTGTGGACTTACCCGACCCGTGTCAGGCGATGTCCTCCCACCCCGGTCAGCTCCTGTTCTGGCCTTTGAGCATTGTGCGTCGCAAAAATTGGACATGCATGCATCGGTTACCCTACTGCTGTATGTCAATGTGGTATCCTAATGCAGTGGGCAAGCGTTGCATGCCTGAGAGGCCGGAAAAACATGATCCCACATACCTCATACGTCTAAAATAGTGCATTTTGATCACAACAACACAGTTCTTTGTGTGTCGCTGTAAATAAAAGGCATGATTTGTACCTTGTTCATGAGTAGCATTCATTACTGCCCCACCAATATACAATATTACCACAAAATAACCTCTTTGTACGACTTGTTCACTGTCCAATTATCCAGCAACGTAATGGAACATCACAAAGTTTTGGTCCCCTTCCCACCACTGTCCACCTGCCTAGCGGTATCATTTTACTCCATGCATCAGCGACTAAAATCCAGTTCGGCCCCTGAATTAACAAACGCAACTTCGGCACTGACGGCTGTCACCGACAAGTTCGGTGATTTGTATCATCAGCGACTGCTGGCGCGCAACAGCCGGGGGCGCATGCCGCGCGCGCCACCGCCCCAGGTCCGGTGTCGGAGCGGATCAGTGGGATCGGCCTTGAACTTGACCCACTGCCCGCCGCCCTCTGTCAGAGCCCGAAGGTAATTGGATTGAGACGTCTATATGGCCGTGATGAGAGGTGCTTGGGTTCATGGCCACTTAAACTGCGGCGGTTATTTTGCTTGGCGCAGAGCGACGAATGGAATAATCATAGTTTTAAAAAAGAACTAACGGAGTAAAACTGTAACGGTTGCGTATTGGCCACACTTCAAGACGCAGTTTACCCTGCTCTCCGGGGAATCTCGATCACCTAGCCGCAGACGTAGAGCACCATTATCCGTGGCTCACGTACTAGCTGAGTGTCGGAACTACGAGATTGAGGGGAAACCGTTGTCTTAAGCTGAATCACATTCTCCAGGCCTGTCTGTTGGATGATCCTCCGTAGCTCCATGTGCGAGCAGGTTTGGTCTTTTTCGGAGCTATTGATTTCAGACTTTTATATTCGCCTACCGAGACAATTGGCAGGTGGGCCACATGGCCTGCATGCGATTTGTTTTTCTACGCCGTACGTTTCCGGTGCGCAGCTGACGAACTTTCTGAGTGGCCTAGGCATTGGTGACAATCTGCTGACATGGCTCCGACTATAGCTCTGTTGACATAGGCTCTTAAAACAAGACATCGGCGCAAATGTTACTGCAGTTGACGCGTCCGTGAAACTCCATAACTAAGTGCGTGCTCTATGAAAGATATGAGAATATGCAAATCTGAAATCGCTATCTGAAGGTAGCAAAATGGATGCATACAAATGTTCACGGCACGAGGGCCTACGTTCACACCTTGGCGGTCACTCTGGTACGGTCAGAAGCACCGCTCACCATAGGGTTCCTGTAATTGCCCTTCATAGCTCCACGCAACTCCACGTGCATCCCGCTCTTCTCCTAAAATTGGCTTCGTCGCCATCCTGAAGCCAACTGTGTCGTTTTCAGCCTACCATTCGCTCTGCCACGCTTTCGGGCGCGACATGCAACGGCTCCGAACGGATTACCAACATATATTGACCATTTGTCCGTGACTGCTCTGGTCTCTGGACATGTACGCGGTATGGCAACGACTTGCTTCGCCTTGAGCAAGGACTAACGATGCGCCAAGGCGCTGATTCTGTCACAGCGTCCAGCCCTACACGTCTCACGAAAGTGCCCTCCACAACGCACGAGTCCGGCTTGTTCTGACAGCTTCCCCACAAAGGAGCCCCCCCCCCCCCCTCCGTCGCACCTGCCTTCCGTCCGATTTTGAAACACGCGCTTTAATCCCGAGTCGCGGACGTATCCCCACTGTTTCAGCAGCCGGAGTGCGACGTGCGCTGGTAATCCTACCTGAAGCCCGGAGCGGGATGCTGCAGACACGCCTCTAAGCCAGCGCTAATTATGTCATTACTCTGCAGGCGAGCACAGCGTAACGGTCTCGCTTCGGCTGCGACTGACGTGAGCATTGTGTTACGCGGACCGTGGTGTCCGGGGCTGCTCGTAAACGTCTGGTATGCGTTCATTTTTGGGAGGTTGTGGTTTAAGCAAACAGGTTAGCAGTTACGTGATCCAGTGAAGCATGTAATGATCGTTTCGTTGATTCAATACATTTCAGTGACGTCATCCAGAGATCCAGTGTGATGGTCCACTGGCGGCATGGTCCATGTGGCTTAGTCAGTTTTGTGGATCGGGGCCGAACGTTAGATTATCCTTGTAAAATATACGGCTAAGAGGCCAACAGGTAACCATCTCCGTCACGGAGTGCCTGAGATTCTGACGTCATCATCTGACGTCATCATCTGACGTCATCATCTGACAGCATGGTCGATGTGGCCTATTCAGGCTAATGGATCGGCTAAACGCCAGATTATCCTTGTAAAACGTCCGGCTATGAAGCCCACAGACAAGAATCTCCGTCCCGGATTGCGTTGGCTTCGGACGTCATCAAATGAGATCGGCGATTGATCGTACCATTTGTCGAGCTGCTCCATAAACAATAGCGGCTTCCACTCTGCCATGGTTATCACATTGCATAAATTAGTTACGATATTATTCAATATTACTTTACTATATCATCACAATAGATATGCGATATTATGTTTGCGATATTATTATTTATTATCCATCTACGAATCATTTACGATTTGTATTACGAGGATTTTATAAACGCTGCATACCATGAGATGAGTGCGTGGCCAACGTAGCTTTGCTGTCATCACCTGGCGCACGACCCAAAGGTTGCGGGTTCGTCACGCACCGCCGTCACTTTTCAAATTCGTCCTACAATCAGCGTGCAAGATTGCTGCGCTTGCGATCTGAGCGTAGCATCGCATGTTTGAGCTCAGCTGACGGTCGGGAGCTAAGCCATGTAACCTGAGCCACCAGCCAGGGCGGCGTAGCACGTAGCACGTAGCACGTAGCATGCGTAGCACGGCTGATCGAGCGCCCTCCGGGGACCACGCTCGAGCCGAGGCGAGGTTTCGAGGCGGGGTTTCGCGCCTTGGTTGCACCCAGCGCTTGAGATCGAGACGCGGAGCGCCCTGTACGAGACGTCCTTCACGAGCTATCCGAAAACCGAGCCACGCCGCCTACACGCCATGCCCTGCCGGCTTCTGTA